ATACATCCTTTTTCTAGATACAAATATTTAAGTAAATAATATTTACCGGCCTCAATATCCGAGAAATTTTCATAGAAAATATTCGTCCTCCGACAGGAATCGAACCTGTATCCTATACGTAACCGTAATTTAGCCTGACGTGCCTTTTAGATATCTGCTCTTAACCATTCATTAAACTATGCTTACATCCTTCACATCTTTCACATAAACTGAGACCATTTCGCTTGAATGTCACTTCTTTATTTCAAATAAAAACTTTTTTTTTTCAACATATCAGTAAAATTTCTACTTTGAAAAACTATAATATATAATTATAGTTTGCAAATTATAATTATATATATATATATATGGGAAATTAAAATCTGAGTTTGTCTTTAATTAATGCCAAATGCAGATGATGAGAACTGAAGAAGGATGGTATTTTCCTTCCGGGATGTTCAATTCCGGTTGTAGGCGGTGATTCTTTCTCGCATTACTTCTTTTTACCTTATGTGTCATTAGAGGCACGACTTATTCAACAGGCAAAAAATATTACATAATCTCACATCACTGAAACGACTCTTTATTTTTCTTGCCCTTCCTAAGATGCTGATGTATATGAAACCTTTGCCCTGACACCATAACTAAATGGGTTATTTTATTCATTAAATGCATTTTTCTGATACACTCCTCTACCCCACATCACAGCAGGAATGTCAAAATCTAAAAGAAAATGAATATTAAATATCTTGGGTTGGGGAATTTAAAAGCTTTTTCGATTTGGTGGTCGAGTGTTAGATCATAAGCAAAATGTGGCTCCTTGATGATAATATTGGTCTGGGAGAGACGATCCCAGAATGCAATACCGTTGAAAAGTGCCTGAAAGCCAAGCCCCACCGGTCGATATAAGTCCTATGAATGAAATTGGGTAGACGAAACGTTTCGAAATCCTTCAGTGGCTGTGCTAACACAAAGTTACAAGTCATCGTGACCGAAGTTATGAACGTATTTGCTTTGTTCAATAACTGATTCCGCTGTCTTTCCTAGAAACTGCAACTAAGCTCCTCTTTGTGGATTTCGCTTTAGACAAAAAAAATCAAGTGCTTATAAAAATTTAAATTTAGATTTGTTTGAAATAAATTTAACCTGAACTTTTTAACCTACCCCTTTGGCTTTTCAAAAACTTATGTAAGATATAATGCATGAAAACATGTCGCATCTTTAAATTTATTCTGTTGTTAACGTTTCATTCAGTAAGAACATCATCAGAAGAAGAGAGAAAGGAAAAATTGTTCCCATGGCAAACTTGCGACTTACAAAAGCTGTGGTAATTTTGACTTGTATTTTTTTTTTTTTTTTTGTAAAATGTAACAGCTAATAAAATTTTTAAAAATTGTGAATAAAATAAATATTTTTGTACAAATACAGGAGATTTTGACATAGAAAAATGTTTAAAGATATGCAAAATAACGTCGTAGAGCAAAGGAAAAATAAATGAATGTTATGGTGAGAAAAATAATTTGCGTATATCTAAAATAGTTAATAAATATATTTCAAATTATAATTTATGATAATATTAAACATATTTTACGGAAAATATAGACTTAGATTAAAGTTAAAATTTACAATAAATTTTTATTAAGGTGTTTAATGAACATCAATTTGATTTTGCTATAGTATTTCCGTTAAGTATTATCTTAGCAAGGAAAGGTGATATGCTATAAAAACCTCGTTTTTTATTAGAATTGAATCGAATTTTGAGATAATAATTGATTCAATAATTCTTCTAGATGATAAATTTAACCATTTAAGCGTTTTTAATCGAAAGGACGTTCTGCATGTTGTACAAACACACACACACACACACACACACACACACACACATACATATATATATATATATTTTAAAAAGTAGTGTATTATTTATTTTATTCCTTAAACGTTATTTTTAGTGGCTATTTATATTTGAGTAGAGTCTCTGTTTATTTATTAAACAGTATTTTTATTTATTTTCGTCTACCCAGATTTTTTCCTGACGGTCGAAAAAAAATCAGGGAAAAATCTGTTTAAAGGCACTATTGAACTTTTCTTGACAATTGGCGGCCTTCGTGGCCAAGTCGATTCAAAGGACGTCGGATCTAACGCCGATTTGCCTTAGGAGCAACGCAGGTCCTGGGTTTTAATAAGATTTTTCGAAGGCGGAAATAAATAAATATACTGTTTAATAAATAAACAGATCGTCTATACCACTTTATTCATATTGAACTTTTACTGATATATTTTTTTTAATTATACCTTAAATTTTACACACATTTACGCACATATACATTCCCACTTATATTTATATATGTGTGCGTGTATATGTGTATGTGTGCGTGTATGTATGTACCTCGAATTTTCTAAAAAAGAAGCATACCATAATGAAAAACGACCTCAAATTTGATAAAAACAAATTTTTATCGTGAAAATGTTTGTTATTATTAAGAGGAAAGACTAAAGTATTTTTTTTTTATTATTTTATTAAATTTTTAATCCTATCTAACACGTTTGAAATTTTGGTTAAAAATCTTGTTTTTCTTGTGTCAGCAGTTGGGCCAAACATTTTTATATATAGGGATTTTTATAGTCTTTTTTGGCGTTAAAAACACATTGTTTTGGAAATTCTCGCAAAAATCAAATAATTGTCGAATTTTAAGGAAATTTTCAGAATTGGTCCACAAATGAATTAATTTATTTTTGTAATTTTGGTTAAAAATACATATTTTTACAGCTGTTCAGTCTCTTCATATTTATATTAGTTGAAAGCAGAAGTCCTTGGGTAAGTTTACTCTTCAATTTGTTTTTGTCAAAAATCTGCTCTGAATCATTAAATAAAAAAATGAAATAAAACTATGAGATTATCTAATTAGAAAAGCTTTTAATTGCTTTTATACATAGGATATATTAAGGACACTATTGTTTTAAGGAAAAAAAATTTGAATTTTTAAAAAACATGTTTAATTTTTTAATTCTAATTAGAAAAATTTATTAAGTTTTAAATCTTTTAAATTTCCATATTAATTTTACTCTTTAGATGATGTTATTATTAAGTAACCTACAGCGGGAAAAAATCTGCCTCGTCAGTCATGTATCGAAAGATACATGAATGCCTAGGCGTGTATCACGCGTGGCACATAAATAACTGATCGCCTAAGCGTCCATCACGCATGACACGTCACTGACTGATCGCCTAAGTGTGTATCACGCATGGCAAATAACTGACTATTATTAAGTGAAAACTAAAAATGGTAATGCTTAATACAAATCATCAGGCACCAATATTTTCAATGAATTTCCAAATTTTTCTATCCTTCAGTATCTGTCTATATTTCTGAGATGAGGTATTATGTACATTATTTACGTTATTCGGACTATTGTACTCATCTTTGTCACCATATTACAACGTTTCGGCCGTTGTACGCTCCGGCCTTCTTCAGGTGATTGGAATGTAGAATTTAACCCTTTATTTCGCTCTATGGGGTAGACTGTTCTAGTTCCACGTGCCATGTTTAATGGATGTCAGTTATGAGTTATCTCCTGTTTGTGCACAAACCACAATTCTGCAAGGACCATTAACTTCGTAATATGCCTCAGAATTATCGATATAGAATGTCAGGGTGTTACAAAGAGGACCTTAACCTTCCTTGCGTGGAAGAAGCTGTGGTCTGAGGTTGTGTCTGAAACAGACTTTGAAAGACTCGGACCGAAGCGTCAGTGGTGGAGCAGATTGTATTCCTCGGCAAGTCGATGGAACCTGGACATGGAGGAAGGTAACATCAATGATCTCATCGAGGAGCAGTCCAAGGAACTGAAAACGGGGGAGCTAAAGAAGCGACAGATGCAACAGCAGCAGCAGCACAAGGTGGTTTTGCAGGAAATATCGATGGCGCGATGTGGGGTTATCTCTACAAGCGAGATAAAGGAAGGGTTGGGAATGTGGGAGAAACTTTCAAATTTCATTCAAAAGAAACACCCAGAAAAAATTGCAACTGGGCGTGCGATGGCGCTATTTAACGAAAGGGAGGATGAAACAGACTTCATTGGACAGGGATTTTTCTTCTTTTTTTTTCTTTTTTTTTTTTTTTTTGTTATCTAAAATCCCTGCAGATGAAAGTGAGGAAAGCGTGGCGAAAAAGAGTAAAAAAAAATCATTGAATAAGATTCAATTATCCAGTTCAGCCTTTTTCCTCCGCCGCCATCAGCATCTTCAAGTCGTCTGATCTCCAAGCTAAATGCTGTACATTATACTTAATAAAATCAGTGCATTTAAGTACATTTTATTGCATTGTGTTTTTATACAATATTCGTTGTTTATTCATTATTTATAGATACATTTTACTTATTTAAAAACATGTAATAAAAAATTGCAGTGACATTTATCCGTCCCGATTCCCCCCTTCCCAAAGAAGGGGGGAATCGGGACGGATAAATGTCATTTCAATTCATTTCAATGGGGAAAATGATATAACGAATAATTTGAGTTACGAGCTCCTTCATGGAACTCGTAAGTCAAGGCACCATGATAGATAGATAGATAGATAGATAGATAGATAGATAGATAGATAGATAGATAATATAGTCTTCTTTACCAGGTTCTATATAAATGTAATGTAAACAATGAGCTTAGGTGATGATAAAGAAACGTTTCGACTCAACCGAATAATTTTTTTATATATTTGATCAATCAATCAGATTTTAGGAAGAGAGGTGGACCATGACAGAGAAACAATTTGAAAGGATGCCAAAACTCCTAAGTCAGTCCTTAAAATTATTTATCTCTAACCTCGATCAAATTCCGTAACAGAAAATACCCACATAGGAGCAACATCCTCCACAATCCCACAGGGATAGAATTTCTTTACAGCTTAAAAAACAGCAACAGCAACAAAATATGCGACCGACAACAGAGAGTTCAGATTCTCGCTTAAGTATACTTTTGGAAAGGACAAAACACACGCGTGGGTGACGTCTTAAAACGGTGAATGAGATCTTTCTTTAACAGCAGGCGATCGTGTAATTTTAAAAGTAAGTCTTTTACACTAAGCAATAAAAGTTCCTGCTTAATGTGGTACCATTACATTTGAAATTCAGGCCCTACTGGACAATGGTGGAAGAATTTTCGTTCGATTAGGTGTCCATCTTGATTTATATACAATTTTCAAGCCTCTTCACCAATACCCATCTCTGTCCCCTTTTCTTTCTTCACTTTCTCTCTCTGTCTTTCTCCCCATCTTTCCCCTTTCTTTCCTCTCTCTCCTTTCTCTATTGCATCTCACTCTCCTCCTCTCTCTTAACTCAATCTTCTATCCTCTTTCTCTCCCGTCACTCATCTCTGTCCACTTCTCTTCTGTCTTTCTTTTCTTCCTTCTCTCTCTCTATTTTCTCACTCACCTCCCTCTATATCCGTCTCTTATTTCTCTTCTTCCTTCCGCCACTCTCTCTCTCTCTCTCTCTCTCCAGTCTCTATTCTCTTCTCTTCCGTCTCGCCTCTCTTTCTTCTCTCTTCCCTCTCCCTCTCCAGTTATTATTTTCTCCTCTTTTTTTCTCTCTCTCTCCTCTTTCCTCTCTTTCTACTCTCTCTTCTGTTTCTTTTCTCTCTTTCTTCCGTCTCTCCTCTCTCGGCGCCATTTTTTCACTTCCCTCTTTCCCTTTTCCTCTCCCACTGACCCTCTATCGTTCCCCTTACTTTTCTTTCTCTCTCTCTCTCTCTCTCGCTTTCTGAAACCTAAGCTTAATCTTTTTATTTTCATTTTAGATGTCATGTCTCTTCAACTCGCCCCAGATCCATTTTCTTTATCATTTCTGAACTGCCATGAATTCGTGGATTAGTTAGCAGATCGGTTTTCCATTGCCTTCTTTGCGGTTTTGAAATCCGAATAGTTATTCTCCTAAAATAGCAGCACCCAATACTAGAGAGCAAATTCTACCATGCTATGTAACTCATATTTAGAAGGAGTAGATATGGATACGTTCCTTTCCTAAAAGCAAGAGCACATAAATGAATGCAACAGACGACATTAACATTTGAACGCTGCACGCTGATTCCGCATTCCATATCGATAATCATAACGCTGCCAACACATTATCATTCAAAATAGCACAAGTACATAAGACCTTGAATGAATAAAACATATTGGCGCCATTTTGAATAAATCTATAATCCGGTGAGTTTGTCAGACAAGGACGTCATTTTGAATAGCAATACAGATTCGAAAGAAATTGTTTTTAAGACGTATTTATTTCCATCGAGATAATATGCATTAGTCATGTTTTTCAAGCTTACATGGACTCAATAACAATAGAGACAATGAGATTTGTCATAGAATGCCATGAATCCAAAAGAGCAGATGGTAAAAGGAAAAGAAAATAAAAAACTGGAAAAAAATATCTGGACGACGTTAGAAAAACTGGAAAATATGAAAGTGACAATTATCATTATTGGAGTCAATGACATTGATTCTTTAAGAGGCTGGAACAATTGATAATCCAAAGAAAAATGGAAATGAATATCAGCAGAAATATTGAACACAATATTGACAGTCCTGCTTCTATTGGACTCTCGAATAAAAGAAATGAGAAAATGAGCAAGAAACAGATTTTGTAAATGAAATGATGTATTACGAATGGAAAATCGAGAGACGGTAAGAATAGAGCGGTGACAGAGCGGTGACAGAGCGGTGACGCTCTCAGCTTCAGAGAAAGAATTGCATTCTTTAGTTATACCAGTTCCCAACCTTTACAGCGTAGACCAGCCATGTCACGTCCATTAGATTGAATCACGTTCGTTCTCTTCATATTCCATTGGTAAGGAGGAAGTTCCACTCAAACAGCTTAAGAACCACTTATATTATGTAAGAATGCTTCCCCGATCACTACACTCTTAACTAGTTCAAATCTAAAGTCAACTGTTACCTATCCTCGTATTTTGCAATTTGTACCCTTGTTTACGTCTATATCACAACGTCAGTCAATAACACTCCACATTGAATGGATATTGTGTGACAATTTAGAAAAAAATCTGATCTTATAATCAAACATCAATATTTTAGTGGTATGGTCGGACTGATAACTTTTCAGATGCTTACCAAAGAATTTTATGAAAATGTATTTTCTAGTGAAGAATCTGTAAATATATTTCTGAAAAAGAGTAAAACTCTTTTATTAGTCCACAAGAAACAGTATTTTACCATAAATTCTGTTCTGTTATGAAAGCAAAATGTTCAGTTCCCACCGTTTTTTTTTGTTTTTTTTTGTTTTTGTTTTTTTTTGTTTTTTTTTGTTTTTGTTTTTTTTTGTTTTTGTTGTTTTTTTTGGTGCCTACGAAAAGGATTCCAAACATCACGATCAATTCGATTAATGACTGAAATGTTTAATAAACAATTTAATAAATGGGCGTAAATGTGTAAAATTTTATTTTCTACTAAATTTTAATTCCTTAAATTAATTTCCTAAAAGATAGAGTATTGATAACAAATGCGGCAAACCGTAGACAGCAATCAAAATATTGTGATAGACCGCATTCTGCTATAGTCTCAATTTAATATAACGAAAAACAATACTCGAAAATTATTTAAATGGTTCGAAATGTTGTCCTCATCTTTGTTGCTATATTTACGATGTTTCGGCTGATGTACACTCCGACCTCCTTCAGGTGGTTGCAATTTCGAACTGAACCCTTTATTTCGTTCACCGAGGTAGATTGTTCTAGTTCCACGTGCCGTGACTCTTCCGGATATCTCAGTATCAGTTATTTCCCTTTTAGCAACTCAACTCAAGAAGTTTTTGTTCACCTCTGCTGTGGCTAGGTATTGAAATCACAACTCTTTGAATCAAATCACTGGGACACCTCACCAACTCCCCCATCCACTGGGCCACGCATCCATGATATCTTTGGGACCCACAAACCCAATGTCTCAGTTTCAATTTTTTTAGGAGCTCATATTACAATTTGTTGTTATTGTTTCTCTCTCTCCCCCCCCTCTCCCCCCCTCTCTCTCTCTTTTGCTCTCTGTATTACTGGTTCCCATATTGTATTCATGTCTATCTTTGGCCAGCTTAAGAGGTTTTTGTGGCCCAGCATATGTACTGATTCCTTAAGTTTTCGTATTTTCCAGTGATGTTCTCTGTCTATTATTTACAATACAATAACTCATCTCAGAAATATAGACAGATAATGCTCGAAAAATCAATATATATTCCAAAGAACAGATATTCTACTCAGAGAGACAGATAAATTATTTCATTGCACATCATCCTGAATCTTCATGTGGTTTCAACTGATGATAAGGTTGAACATCAGATTTTCGTAGCCTTCAACGAGTTCTTGTTATGACAGAGGTCGATGGTTGGTCATCGAACTGAATTTTTCTTTTCTTTGGACAATGCTTCCGCTAGTCATTTACCTTGAAGCTGAAGGACTTGACCGCTTTTACTGAGCTGGGTATCCCCGAGTCGCCATTTTGAATCCGAATTCTATTCGTCGGGCGTTTTCTTTTCCTGTATCAGATTGGAGCCGGCTACATTAATGCCTTCAATATGTCTGAAAGAGAAGAGAGAATGTTAATATTTGACGCATGCCGCCTAACATTACATTTTTCGTTTCGCCCATTTACGCTTAATAATATCTTTTTTTTTATCCTTATTCCCCCATACAAGCACACACTTTATTTTAATAAATGTATCCAAGGTTTTAATCAAAAAGTATCGGGACTATTGTTATGGTAACAGAGCTAAAGTACTCAGAATGACTTTGAACTCTGTCGCTCATGCGCACTACGGTTGTTGTAACCCAGGGAAGGTTACTGAATAGAATAATCACACGAAGCTTGGTAATGAAAGAATAACACATAAAATTCGCCAGCGGCGCCTAGAAGTAGTCAACTGCCAGAAGTCAGTCAAGTGAATTCCACAATGAATCTCCAACTGTAGACCAACATGGAGACATACCTATTATTGTTCGTAGGTATGCTACAACAAAGGTGTAACCTTCTCGCTCACTTCCGTTGTTTATAGCAGTGCTTTGAAGGAAAGTGTGTAGAGTGTAGTCGTCTCAACACACCACAGGGGTTCTATTATTGACCATGGCTTGTGAAGTGGTTTTTGGTCATGCACACCATTTCCCATGTCTGATAACTACCATATTCCACAGATCTCGACTTTTTCATCTTCAAAAATCAAATAATACTTGAAAAGAATAAGATTTCAAAACATCGAGGAAATCCAAGAGAATTCGATCAGGCAGCTGCTTGCTGTTCCAAAAAGGAGTTCCAGGATTACTTCCACCAATGTAAACAACGCTGGATAAAATGTGTGGTTTCAGAAGGGGGCTGCTTCGAAGGTGATTAAATGCCAAATTGATATGTGTTGCAGTTTTTTTTTTTTTTTTTTTTTTTATAGCACCAGTCCCGATACTTTCTGATCATACCTCGTATATATTATGTAATGATATACACTTTCCAAAAGTATCATCTTAAAGAATAATCTTGTAATGGATGCAAATTGAAAAAATTGAAATTTACAACTTTTCCCATTTCACTGAAACATTTGATAAACACTTCAATCCTTCTTTCTTTCTTTCTTTTCTTTTTCATATTCTCACTGAAACCAAGTAGCGTTTTCCCCTCTTTCCTGCAATCAAAACGGAATAGTTCATTATTTATTAAGTACTGACAGGACGTAAAGGTCATGTGAATTAACGAAGGGACGGACAAGTACAATTTTAATAGGATTAATTATTTGTATTTATTATATATATATATATATATATATATATATATATATATATATATATATATATATATATATACTTGTTTATTTTTACGTTAAGTTGTAGTATACATCGATTGTCTTCTTAAAAAAAGAGTATTATTTAGTAAGTTTATTTTATTACGAATAATTTATATATTATTATTACGAATTATTATGAATATTTATTACATTTACATTTGTACTTGATAATTTTGTTATTTATTGGTATGAACTTCTAAAAGTTATTTATGTTTTAACGTAACATTTTTTATTGAAGAGGACGTCTCTTTGGATTTGTAGGAAAGGATATTTTGAATCCTTTCACTATTCGTTTATTTTGAATATTTGGGTAATAACTCCTCCGGCTATCAAGTGTTAAAGGTTATTTTAAACTTCGTAAATACTTCCAGTTGTATATAAAGATACCATTGGTACATTTAATATGAAAGGACATGTGAAAAAATAAAGGCGGTAAATATCGCCTTTGGATATTCATAATTGCAACATCGATATATGTTGTCTGCAAGAAACTAAAATCAAAGGACTTGATATTAATATCGAAATTAAACAGCACAGATTATTAACATGATTTTAGCATAGCATATATGCTAATTCTTTTAATTTTTTTATTGTTATTCTTCACTGCTGACTCCTATTAATTATTTTACCTTTTGCCTGATTTTTACCCTGACTTCGGATTATAACCCTTATATTCCTGTGTGCAATCTTTAGAAGCAAATAAAAGAGTACTCAAGTGTCATGTAATATCACTCCTCCTCTATCACAGTAAATGTTGGGCAATCTCTTCACAGAAAAATAAACATCACTGTGGTTCTACAGAAGGATGCTGAGGATACTTAACATCAGGAGGAGACAACTGTAATTTGTAAGACACATAATGAGAAAAGAAGGATTGGAAAACTTCATACTCACAAGACAAGAGAGAAAAACAACGCCTAACCTACCTAAGGATTT